CACTCGACCACTGAGCCACATCCCCAGCCCTATTTTGTATTTTGTTTAGAAACAGAGTCTCACTGAGTCACTTAGCACCTCACTTTTACTGAGGCTGGCTTTGAACTTGCAATCCTCCTGCCTCAGCCTCCCAAGCCCCTGGGATTACAGGTGTTTTCAGATATGGCAGGATCCTTATTTAGGTGAAATTTATTTGATAGGATACTCACAATGAAAATTATCGTTTTGGAAGACATGAATCAGAGTGAACATACTTTATACAAATATATGAAAAACTGTCCTCTGTATATGTAATGAGAATTATAATACATTCTGCTGTCGTGTCTTTAAAAAAATCAATAAAAAAGAAAATTATTGTCTTGGCTTTTTATTGTAAGCCAGAAAAATATATTTAATTAACTGAAATTAATGTGGGTGGCTATACTAGGGCCTATGTGATAGGATATATATGTTGGGTGAATAAATTGAATAAAATGACATATATTATGAAATTTTTATCCTTGCAAATGTATATTTTAAAAATCTGGCTGTTTTCAACCTGCACTTTTTTCAATCTGAACATTGCTCTTAACCACTATCTGTACACTTCTACAATATTTGGGCTGATGTTTATAATGATGATCTGCTATAGTCCCTGTATTATAGCACAATCTTTACATTACATTTTTATTATTTAAAAGCTGATAATATGGTCTGTTTTTTTAACACTTCTAGAATAACGAGCATTCTTATCAAGTAACCCACCTCAGGCACATTCTTTGACTATCTTCAATAATAGAGTTTACAGTTAATAAAAATAAAACATCCAACAGTTGATAAAAAATTTTGAGGTTCATATTATTACAGCTAGAATATGTATCACAAATAATCTTAATCTAACTAAATTTTTAACAAATGCTACATAGCTCTTTGTATTAATTGTAAGAATTGCTACAAAGAATCATGAATACATATAACTTCATTTCTCATTTGATAGAATGTGGTATGTTGGTATCAGCAAGACAGGAGATGTTAGGAATAGACTGAGACTCATTTATTTTTATGTATTTTAAAAAAAAATTGTACCAGGTATTGGACCCAGTGGTGGTTAACAACTGAGCCACATCCCCAGCTCTTTTTATTTATTTATTTTTTATTTTGAGACAGGGTCTCATTAAGTTTCTTAGGGTCTCACTAAATTGCTAAGGCTGACTTTGAACTTGCAATACTTCTGCCTCAGCCTCCCCAGCCACTCAGATTACAGGTATGTGCCACTGTACCCAACAGAACCGAACCTCATCTTAATTTGAGTTAGTACTTATTGTAACAGTGGTCCACTTCACCTTTTGAATACAGCCCTCACTGCACATGGCTTATTTTAAAATGTACATGTTTTTCTTTTCCTCTTCTCTTTCTCTCCCTTCCTAACGTAGGGGCAGGGAACAGGGTTACCTTTATATCCCATTCTAGGCCTAGTTATCTGTATTTGAGCACATACCCACCATAGGAACCAAGTAATTCAGACTGGTGGGGGGTGCTGGCAGAGTATCTAAGGAATGGCTATCTCCAAAATTAACAAGTGATTCATAATCCCTCTGACAGGAACACCTGTTAGGGAGTCTTTGAATAGCTTCTTTTTTTTTTTTTTTTTTTTTTTTTTTTTTTTTTTTTT